CTCCGCCCCCGCTGGCCCCGCTCAGCGTGCCGCCCGCCCCCTCCGCTGGCCCCGCCCCTGCGCACGGTGGGAGGAGCCTCTGCACGTGTACGTGGTGTGCGCGCGCACACCAGTCCCGGGTCTGGAGCTCAGCACCTGGGCGCTGTTCCTAAGCCCTTTGGCTCAAGAGTGGTGCTCTACCGCTTGATCCACAGCGCCACTGTGGCTTTTTGCTGGCTCCCTGGAGCTACAAGGAGTCTCGTGGACTCCTGGGATCCTCCGGCTCCCAGCGCCCTGAGCAGCCGGCGCGTGTGCGCTCAGGCACGCGCGGCTTGCTCCCCACCCACTCACTTGGTCCTGGCACAGCAGCTCGATTTTCTCCTCGGCCAGCACGGCGAGGTCCTCCTCCTTCTCCTGCTCCCCCGTCTTCTCGTTGTTGGATGAGCTGGTGGTCTGGGACTCGCTGTCCAGGTTGATGATCTTCTCGTACACGTGCTCCATGATCTTGCGCACCTGCAGCATGTCGCTGGCTGACAGCCGGTCTCTGCGGGGCGACGGGGACGTGAGGGAAAACGTTTATGCATATTTTATGCATGTCATACTTACATAACAAATATATAAGCCATATATGTAATGTGTTAAATATATATATTGTCTTCTCGTCCGGGATTACTTTTCTTTGGTGTTAACATCTAAAGCTCAGACATACCACGAAGACCAGCACAAAGCCGCCAAGACCAATTCTATCTAACTAAACGGGATCACACTTCTGAAGCCAATACACAATAGCCTCTGGATTTTATTCTCTTTTGTTGTTGGTCATGGGGCTTGAACTCTGGGCCTGGGCGCTGTCCCTCAGCTCTCCAGCTCACGCTGGCGCTCTACCACTTGAACCACGGAGCCACTTCCAGTTTTGTGAGTTCATTGGAGATCAGAGTCTCACGGACTTTCCTGCCCGGGCTGGCTTTGAACCACGATCCTCCGATCTCGGCCTCCCGAGGAGCTGGGGGTGACGGCGGGGTGTTACTTACTTTTTTAAGGTTTTCGCGCCCGAAGATGCTTGCGGTTGGAGGTAGAAAGGAATTTTGTTGAACTTGGGCATATTTTTCTGAAACGTCAAGAAGTTGGAAAGGGCCGTTGTCTGGACGCGCTGCGGCGCTGTCACGGCGCGTGGTTTACCGAGAATCCCTCCCCACGCGAAAATGAGCTTCCCGCCCAGCGAGCGGACCGCGGCCGCCGGCCTCCACAGCCAGCACGGCGGGGACCCGCGCGCCTTAGTGCGCATGCCCGTGTGGCCCGGCCACCTCCCCGCCTCCGCCGGCCCCCGCGGGCGCTTACATCCACGGTGATGTCGATCACCCACTGCGGCACCGTCTCGTTGAGCAGCATGGACTCCGTCTCGCCACCCGAGTCCCGGCAGAGCAGCCTGCAGTCGACCGGCGGGGGTCGGGGGTCAGAGGTCGCCGCCTGCCCACCCACGTGACCTGCCTCGCGGGAGACAGGCTAACCCCCTGACTATACCCCACGGCTGTCTGTCCCTCGTACCTGGCTCAGGGCTGGAACGCAGGCCTGGAGGCGCGCCAGACACAGCCCTCTCTGGCAGGGGCTGGCGCCCACCGGAGGCCAGGCCGGTGCCGCCCCGCCCCTCCCCTCCCGCCTGATTGGTGGCGAGGAAGTGGTCCACGCTACAGCGGTTCCCACGCTCAGCCCCGCCCCCCTGCCTGATTGGCCGTGAGGAGACTCTAGCGGTTCCCACGTGCAGCCCCGCCCCCCTGCCTGATTGGCCGCGGGGTGACTCTCGCGGTTCCCACGTGCAGCCCCGCCCCTCTCGCCTGATTGGCCGCGGGGAAGCGGTCCACTCTGTCTGTTCCCACGTGCAGCCCCGCCCCTCTCGCCTGATTGGCCGCGGGGAAGCGGTCCACTGGGTAGCTGTTCCCACGTGCAGCCCGGCCCGATTGGATGCTGGCCACCCGGGGCTGGCTGGAGGCGGGGCCTTAGCTCATCCTATCCCCAGGGATGACTTCCTGACTTAACTCCCGCAGGGAGAAAGAAGAGCCGAACTTTTGCTTTGGCTGGCGATCTTGGGGCTTGAACCAGCGCCGGCCTCCCCACTTCTCTACCTTCCCGCGTTCTCCCATGTGTCTGGGCTGATGCTTTTGGGCAGAAGTGGGGGGCTCTAGCCAGGCTGCTGGGACTTGCCGTGGTCCTGTCCCTACCTGAACAGGGTGCGGCCTCCAGCCTCGCCGAAGATCACGGGGGTGTGGGGCGGCACCTGGAAATACCCGTTGCCCTTCTGCACGCGGGCCTCCGGCTCCCCGTTCACTACAAGCAGAGGCCGCCAGGGTTAGCGCTCACCGCGCTGCACACCAGCAGCACCCAGACTCCCAGCCTGCGGCTCCCATGTCATCTCAGCCACTGAGGAGGCTGAGCCCTGAGGATCCCAGTGCACAGCCAGCCTGGGCACACAAATCACGAGACACTCATCTCCAAGGAACCCCGAAAACTGTAAGTGGAGGTGTGGCTCAAGGGGGAGAGTCTTGGACAACCAAGTCAGGGACAGTGCCCAGGTCCTAAGACTAAGCGCCAGCATCGGCATAAAAATAAACAGGGACTGGGAGTGTGGCTCAGTGGTAGAGCGCTCGCCCAGCATGCACGAAGCCCTGGGTTCCATTCCTCAGCACCACAGACACAGAAAAAGCAGGAAGTGGCGGTGTGGTTCAAGTGGTAGAGCGCCAGCCTTGTGCAAAATGAGGCTCAGGGACAGCGCCCAGGCCCAGAGTTCAAGCCCCAGGACTGGCATAAAAAAATAAAAACAAGGCTCTATACACATTTCGTTTCTAAAGGCTTCAAAAGCTTGCCCGAGTATTTTCCCAACGTTTTTCCTCCCCTGAGCAGCTGGGATTACCGGCGTGAGCCGCCACGCTTTGGCTCTGGGTGAGTTTCACGTTGGTGTGTGCTGACACACTCACCGTGGCTGACCTCGTTCTCCTCCTCATCCACGGGGTTCGCGTGTGTCCGAGGCCAGCACTCCAGGAGCGCCTGCAGCAGCAGCCCACCCAGGTTCACTACCACGCGGGGAAGACAACAGAAATGCCAGTCGGCGGGTTGTGGTGTGGAAGAAAGCAATACAAAGTTTCCGCACATGTCAGGTGCCAGGTTTTTTCTTGTTATTTCTTTTTTAAAGGCGGGGTTTTGCTGTGTATCCCGGGCTGACCTGGAATTCCCAGTTCCCCTTGTCTCTGCCTCTTAGGACCGGGATTACAGGCATCCACCACCATGCCCAGCAAGGAACATGGTGGGTCCACTTCTACAGAAAGCCTCTTAAAATGGCTGAACACTCTGAATACTTATTTCTTACTTAGCATATTCTTTCTAGAAGCCTATGGACCACAGATTATGGCAAAATTCAAGGGCCAATCACGAAGATTAGGTACATAGTTGTGGGTAACACAGATCCATGTACTCTTGGGAGAAAGAAGCAGAGACACAGCTTACGCTTTGGATCCGAGCCGTCAGGGCTGCTGAAGCCAGCATCTTTCGCGGATACCCATGCAGCAAAGCAGTCACTCTCATCCAAAGTAATGGTCAGCATCTGTCAGAAGAAGAGTCAAGCTGGGAGCGGCGGCTCACGCCTGTAATCCCGGTGCTCAGGAGGCTGAGATCCGAGGATCACAGTTTAAAGCCAGCCTGGGCAGGAAACTTCCGTGAGACTCATCTCTAATGAACCACCAGAAAACTGGAAGTGGTGCTGTGGCTCCAGTGGTCAAGCGTGCACCTTGAGCTGAAGAGCTGAGGGACAGCGCCCAGGCCCAGAGTTCAAGCCCCACCACCGACCAAAAAAAAAAAAAAAGACATGAAGAGTGACAACTGACTTACCCCCGTCTTTAAGTCTACTGAGAACCAATTTGGCACGTACACCATTTTAAATCTCTTCTTAATTTCATCTTCAAAATCCACTTTGCCCAGATCTTCAACTTTACATGCCTGTATGTAAAAGCCAAGTATCTTGTCAACACAAAGCGGCTCATTTCAGACTTACTCTGTGATTCAAAATTTTGTGACTTTAACATCTTAAGTCTTTTTTTTTTTTTTTTTGGCTGATGCTGGGGTTGGAGGTGTGGCTCAGTTGGTAGAGCACCACGCAATAAGAGCACCAGGTACTAAGTTTGAGTCCCAGTCTGGAACCAAATAAAGAAGAGGAAAAGATAAGTTTGCTGAGACTGATATACGGTGGCTCACGCCTGTCATCCTAGCTACTCAGGAGGCTGAGATCTGAGGATGGTGGTTCAAAGCCAGCCCGGGCAGGAAAGTCTGAGAGACTCTTATCTTGAATTACCCACCAGAAAACCAGAAGTGGCGCTGTGGCTCAAGTGGTAGAGCGCTCGCCTTGAGCTGAAGAGCGCAGGGACAGCGGCCAGGCCCAGAGTTCAAGACCCACGACCGACCAAAAAGAAAAAAAAAAACAACCCACAAAAGGGGAAAAAGCTGGCCACTGGGGGCTTACGCCTGAGACCCTAGCTGAGATCCGGAGGACTGTGTTTCGAGGCCAGCCCAAGCAGACAAGCCTGAAACTCCATCTCCAAAACAATCAGTAAACAGCATTGCTGCTCAGCTGAGAAAGCTGAGCTTCGAGGCCCTGAGTTCAAACCTTGGTACCAGCCAAAAAAAAAAAAAAAGTGGTGGTGGTGAATGTATCTCCAAGTAAGAAATAAGATACTAAGTGCTCACTTAAATAGAATGTCAGTCAGATGCCCAAGCAGCAAGTGACAAGTCTCTCTCTCTGTATTGGGGCTTGAACTCAGGGCCTGGGCGCTGTCCCTGAGCTTCTTTTGCTCAAGGCTGGTGCTCTACCACTTGAGCCACAGCGCCACTTCTGGTTTTTCCTATGTGTATGACACTGAGGAATGCTACTAGGCGAGCACTCTACCTGAGCCACCTTCCCAGTCCTTAACACAAGTTAAAATAGAAACCAGCTTCGAGGAAAAAAAAGTCAAGGGACACACACACACACACACACACACACAGTCTTATTTAGCATTCACATCATAAAATCTCACCCCAAGTAAGGCATGATCACAAGTCTTTAGGGTCATGTATAGAAGGGAGAAATAAGCAAGTACCCCAAGATACTTGCCTTCAGGACATCCCAGAAAGCCACGTTATTGTTGGTGTCTTTGGTCAATATGTGCCGCTTATCATTCAGAATGTGGCACTGAATGATGCTAGCGCCCCCTGTGGGTGAAAGGGAGACACAGTCAGCAAGGCTGAGCTTTTGGGTTCAAGGCTGGCGCCGCATACCACCGTTTCCAGCTTTTTGCTGGTTTGCTGGCCGTAAGTCACATGGCCTTTCCTGCCCCAGGGCTGGCTTTGAACCCCGATCCTCAGATCTCAGCCTCCGGAGTAGCTAGGATGACAGCCGTGAGCCTCTGATGCCTGGCTTAATTTTGAGGTCTTTTCCTTGTACTAAAACCCTTTTGTTAACAGCACAATTGCATCGAATGCGAGGCCACCTTTATTGCTGTCAACTCCTTAATAACTGCAATTAACCTCATAACTAATAGTCATTTAAAAATAACCAACAATCGCAATCAAAAGAACCACAATCCCAGCCGGATGCTATAATCTTACCTAGCTACTCAGAGGACTGAAATCTGAGGATCGCAGTTCAAAGCCAACCTGAGCAAGAAAAGTCTATGAGCCCATTTTATCTCCCATGAACAGGCAAAAAAAAAAAAGCTGGAAACGGAGCTGTGGCTCAAGTGGTAGAGCGCCAGCTTTGAGCACGGAGAGGCTCAGGCCTGAGTTCGAGTCTCAGCACAGCAGCAGGGCTGCGTGCGTGTGGTCCGCACCTTTGAGGGTCTGGTCGGGCTGGGTGCACAGGGGTGTGATGGGGTGTGTGCAGTCATTGTCGTAGTCACCGGAGGCTCGGAAATTGTGGATGCCTTTCAGCGTCTGTGGGGAAAAACAAGACAGTCACTTAACTGTCTCTTTCCCGCTGAGCTTTGCCTTGCTGTCCAGGAAAAAAGACGGGGAAAGAAAGAGGAGAAAATGGCAATGCAGGTGGCAAAACATCAGACCGGAGGCGTGGCTCAAGTGGTAGAGCACCCGCCGGGAACAAGAATGTCAAACGCTAGAGCATAAGGCCCTGAAGTTCGAGCCCCAGTTCTGGCACAAAAATCAAAAGGAACAACACACCCCCAAACCTGGCCAGCAGCTCCGTGGCTCACGTACGTACCCATTTGTTCACTGTAGACTTCGTTGTGGCCACCCAGACGGCAGGGGGCGGGTCGGCGGATCTGTCCAGCTCCATCTGAAATAGAAGACGCTGTGGATGCTTTGTGGAAGGCCGGCTCTGGGGAAGAGCCAGGCCTAGCTCCATATTATGCCATTATTATTACTATTATTACTAATACACTTGCTATTATTCACCCTCTTTTCCTAGGAATGGTACGGTGAAGAGTGGATCAGGATGGTGTGAAAAGCTAAGGCTACAAGCCAGGTGCCAGTGGCTCATGCCTGACATCTTGGCTACCACTCAGGAGGTTGAGATCTGGAGGATCGCGGTTCAGAGCCAGCCTGGGCAGGAAAGCGCATGAGACTCTTATCTCCCATGAACCACCAAAAATGTTGGAAGTGGTGCTGTGGCTCAAGTGGTAGAATGCTCGTCCCTGAGCACAGAGAAGCTTGGGGAAGGCGCCCAGGTCCTGAGTTCAAACCCCAGGACTGACCAAAAGAGAAAAAAGAAGGTGTCTCTCTCCTGAAGGAATCTACAATCCCATAAAAACTTAATAGAACAACTCTGCACCAAACACAGTGGTCTGGAGTTTGTGTCTTGCTGGTCCTGGAGGCCTCATACAGAACAACTTCCAAGCCCTTTTATTTGTGTGGTTTTCCCACAGGGACCCACTGAGTGGGCTGGCTCCCATTTGCGACCCTCGGGCCTCAGTCTCCTAAAGAGCTGGGATTACAGGTATGTGCCACCATGCCAGGCCAGACCCAAAGTTATTTTCAAGTACAGTTAGCATGAGGGACCTAAGTGAATATAGTTAAAAAGGATCAAGGGCTTTTTGCTCTTCTAGTTATTACTTTTGTGCTGGGGCTTGAACTCAGGGTCTAGGCACTGTCCCCTGAGCTCTTTTTGCTCAAGGCTGGTGCTCTACCACTTGAGCCACAGCACCACTTCTGAGTTTCTGCTGGTTCATTGGAGATGAGAATTCTCATGGACTTTTCTGCCCGGGGCTGGCCTTGAATTGCGATCCTCCACATCTCAGCCTCCTGAAGTAGCTGGGATGGCAGGCGTGAGCCCCCAGCGCCCACACATCCCTCGTGCTTGGAGATGAACGCCGCGGTGTGTGGCCCGCAGGGTGATCACGTGGGAACGCGGACGTGCCTTGAGCACGGGTGCTTTTTCTTCGCAAATCAGCACGCGGATGTCGGGGTTTCTCAGGTCCGTGCAGTAGATCTTGCGGTCGCGCCCACCCGAGTACACATGCGTGAAGGCCTCGTTCACTTGCAGGGCCCAGACACCTTCGTCGTGGACGCGGTACGTGGCGATGCATCTCTGCTGGCCCAGCGACCACAGGCGGATTGTTCCGTCGGAGCTGCCAGACAGACACTGCAGACGGACGACAGGGGTCACACGCCGCCTGAACTCAAGCCCGGGCACCATCCCTGAGCTTTTGCACTCAAAGCTGGCGCTCTGCCACTTGAGCCACGATGCCTCCACTTCTGGCTTTTTGGTGGCTATTCTGGAAATGAGTCTCACGGGCTTTCCTGCCTGGGCCGGCTTAGAACTGGGATCCTCAGATCTCAGCCTCTGAGTAGCTGGGATGACAGGCGTGAGCCCCAGCGCCCGGCTGGAGGAAGAGTTTGAAAGCAGGTTAGGCGAAGGGAGCAGAGGTTCTTGCGGGCGGCAGCAGCATTGGCCCCGAGAACTTGTGGAAAATGTTAATTGCAGCCACGTGCTGGAGCTCACGCCTGTCATCCCAGCTACTGAGGACACTCAGATCTGGAGGATCAAGGTTCGAAGGCAGCCTGGGTAGGAAATTCCGTGAGACTCATTACCAGTGAACCACCCGAAAATCTGGAAGTGGTGCCATATATGGTTCAAAGTGGTAGAGTGCCAGCCTTGAGCACAAAGAGTCTCAGAGATAGCGCCCAGGGTGAGTTCAAGCCCCAGAACTGCCCTGCCACCACCCCCTCACCCCCAAAAGGGATGCAAACAGAACCGTTTTAAAGTGCGGATCACTTTCTGCGTTCTTGGTTTTAGAGCAGGGGGCGGGGCTCGGGGGCGGGGCGGGGCTCGGGGCGGGGCTCAGGGGGCGGGGCAAGGTGCAGGGCAGGGCGCAGAGCGCAGGGGGAAGGGCGGGGCGCAGGGGGCGGGCACAGGGGGCGGGGCAGGGTGCAGGGGGCGGGCGCAGGGGGCGGGGCAGGGTGCAGGGCAGGGTGCAGGGGGCGGAGCGCAGGGGGCGGAGCGCAGGGGGGCGGGGCGGAGGGCAGGGTGCAGGGGGCGGAGCGGGCGCAGGGGGCGTGGCGGGCGCAGGGGGCGTGGCGGGCGCAGGGCAGGGTGCAGGGTGTGGCGCAGGGGGCGTGGCGGGCGCAGGGGACTTGTACCTGGGTACCATCCCGGTTCAGCAGCAATGCCTTCACGTTGTCCGTGTGGCCCTTGAGCTTCATCAGCTTCGCGCAGGTCCTCGGGTCCCACACCCGCAAAACCTGCGGGATGCGAACGCAGTGTCACGCACACCACGTGGACCAAGGGACAGATGGCGCTCCTCAGGCAAATGAGACCCATTCCACGCCGATGGGGTGGAGGGGGGGGGCGCGGCTCGAGGCCGCATGCGACCCTAGCTGACTTGGGAGGCAGAGGTAGGGAGGACTGAAATGAGAGGCCAGCCTGGGCAAAACCCACAGGAGGCTCTCATTTCAACAGGTAAGCTGGAGGTGGTGGCTCACGGCTGCAGTCCCAGCCACGAGGGCAAGGATGACTCCTAATCCCCGAAATAACCGCCCCCCAAAAAGGGCTGGGGGCGGAGGCGTGCTTCAAACGGGAGTGCCAACTTGAGCCAAGTGAGCATGCGAGGTCCCCAGTTCAAACCCCAGTGCTGGGATGCATGCACACACACACACACGCTCACAGGCACGCGTGCGCACACGCGCACACACTTTTTTGGGGAGACCAAGATCAGGACTTGCACTTGGGATCTGAGGTGTGCTTTTGCTCACCAGCCGGGGCGCTGTATGACCTGAACAATGCCTCCAACCCCTGTCTTTTAATTTTCTCTTTCAGGTGGGATATCACTGGGTCTCAAGCACTTAGACTGCGGCCACTTCCAAGGCTTAGTCCCTGGGGTGCCAGGACTACGCGCATGCACTGCCATGCCCAGCACCAGCTCCTAAGTTGCACATGCACCTAGCCTTCTTAGCTTCTCTGTTCTCTCCCGCCCACGCCCTCTCCCGTGCCCCCTCACCTTCTCCGTGGACCCCGACACGATGATGGTGCCCAGCTGGTTCATGGCCAGGCTGTAGATGGAATCTTTGTTCCCACTCAAAGAAGAAGCTGTGGAAGAGACACAGAGCTGAGTATTAATCAAATCTCCCGGCTGTCTGCTAAAGAGTAAGCACAAATGACCAGTTTAATCATTCTTTTTTTTTTTTTGGCCAGTGCCGGGGCTTGAACTCAGGACCTGGGCCCTGTCTCTGAGCTTCTTTTGCTCAAGGCAGGTGCTCAACCACTTGAGCCACAGCGCCACTTCGGGCTTTTTTTCTGGCAGCTCACTGGAGATTAAGAACCTCATGGATAGTCTTGAATTCCTGCCTGGGCTGGCTTTGAACCTTGATCCTCCAGATCTCAGCCTCCTGAGCAGCTGGGATGGCAGGCGGGAGCCAGTGGCGTCTGGCTGGAAATGTGAGCGTCCTTGTCTGGACTCATCAAAGAGCTGCGTGCAGTCCGTGAGATTCTTTATCTCCAATGAATTACCAAAAAAAAAAAAAAAAAAAGCCAGCAGTGGCACCGTGACTCCAGTGGTAGAGCACCAGCCATGAGCAGAAAAGCTCAGGGACGAGCCCAGGGCAATCCCAAGCCCCAGGTCCAGCACCAAACAAAGCAATGAACAAAACCCAGTGCCTTACTTGTGACAGTATTATTTGAGGCAGTTAGAGCGGTGAGAGTATTCACATCCCAAAGGAATATTTGTCTGTCCAATCCGGCGGAGGCTACCAACTCCTTGTCCTTGGCGTACGCCAGGGCCTTCACGTAATCCTGCAACACAACTGGCACTCTGTGATCTCCTCTGCTGAGCACTGGAACGTGAGCTTCACCCAACACTGCGGAGGCCAGCACCCCGCGCATGCGCCGCACCTGGCCGGACGTCTGCCTTACCTTGTGTGTGCGTAACGTGGACATGCAAAAGCCCTTGTGCGCGTTCCACACTTTCACGGTGGTGTCAGACGAAGCGGATATTACTGAGGACAGGCAAAGAGCTTGAATTACAATGGCTTAAAAATTAGTTGTGCTGAAGGTTAAGGCAACTTTTTTTCTTTTTTGTCGGTCGTGGGCCTTGAACTCTGGGCCTGGGCGCTGTCCCTCAGCTCTTCAGCTCAAGGCGAGCGCTCTACCACTTGAGCCACAGCGCCACTTCCGGTTTTCTGGTGGGTTATTGGAGATAGGAGTCTCATGGTCTTTCCTGCCTAGGCTGGCTTTGAACCTCGATCCTCAGATCTCAGCCTCCTGAGTAGCTAGGATGACAGGCGTGAGCCACCAGCGCCCGGCTAATGCACGGTCTTAAAGGTATTTTCGAGTACTTTTGTATATTGCCTCAAACACACACACACACACACACACACACACATGCATGCACACACGCACGCACAATTTTCAAGCAGACAGAGGAAACTTTGTTAATGTTCCAAGTGTAGGCGCAATACATTTTCTTTGGCAGTACTGAGATGTGAACCCCAAATCTTGTGATTGGCAAGGGTTCTATCCATTTGAGCCTCCAACTAATCTGATTCAAAAACTTTCTTCTCTGGGCTGGTGGTACCCCTCACGCCTGCCATCCCAGCTACCTCAGGAGGCTGAGATCTGGAGGATCGTGATTGGAAGCCAGCCAGGCCAGGAAAGTCCCTGGGATTCTGATCTCTAGTGAATCACCAGAAAACCAGAAGTGGCGCTGTGGCTCAGAGTGGGAGAGCGCCAGCCTTGAGCTGAAGAGCTCAGAGATAGCGCCCAAGGGCCTGAGTTCAAGCCCCACGACCCACACACTAAAAAATAATAAAACCACATGAAGGTTCACTACTACTCACAGGTTTTCCCGTTACAGCACAGCACAGCGTCATTTACCCAATCGGTGTGGTGCTCCATTGATGCTATATATGGGTCTTGCTGGAAAAACAAAAAGAAAATGGCAAAGCTGTACTAGAGGGGAAGAAATGCAAATACAAGCAACGGTAAACAGAGCTGTAATAAATAGAATTAAAGTACAGGTTACACTTACAGATTATGCTACTAAGTAGCATACGGTTCTGAAAAATGGAAACTACCTTCAGGGTAGAATTTTAACAAAAAGATGACAGGTTTTTGGGTCCGGTTGTGGGGCCTGAACTCTGGGCCTGGGTGCTGTCCCTCAGCTCTTCAGCTCAAGGCTAGCGCGCTACCACGGGAATCATAGCACCACTTCTGTTTTTTTGCTGGTTAATCGGATACAAGAGTCTCTTGGATTTGGCAGTCTGGGCTGGCTTCAAACTACAAGGCTCCAGTTCTCTGCCTTCTGAGTAACTAGTCTGACAGGCGTGAGCCACGGGTGCCCAACTTAAAGAATTTAAAGCCATGGGCTAGGAAGGTGGCTCAGTGGTAGAGCGCTTGCCTTGCATACATGAGGCCCTGGGTTCGACTCCTCAGCACCACATAAGCAAAAAGAAAAAAACCAGAAGTGGCGTTGTGGCTCAAGTGGTAGAGCGCTAGCCTTGAGCTGGAGAGTTGAGGGACAGCGCCCAGGCCCAGAGGTCAGGCCCCATGACCAGACCCCCCCCCCCAAAAAAAAAGAATTTAAAGCCTTTGGAACCAAAATTAATTTAAAGAAACTTCATGTGAAGCTGTAGTTTAAGTGGCAGAATACCAGCCTTGAAAGGGAAAAAAAGCTAAAGGGCAGTGCTCAGGCCTCGAGTTCAAGTCCTACGACCTGCCCCAAAATATAAAGACCAGATACAAAGCTTCATGTAGCAACTCTGCTAAGGAAAATACCTTTTCCTGCCCTGGACATTATTTAGCTTGTAGAGCAATTTGCTAAAGAGAAACTGAAAAACATAAGGGCTAGCACCAAGAGTTAAAGCTAATCAGGGTCCTATTTTTTTTTTTTTTTCCTTGTGCCAGTACTGGAGCTTAAACTCAGGGCTGGGACACTATCCTTTGGCTTTTTCTCTCAAGGCTACTTGAGCCACAGCTCCACTTGTGGCTTTTTTTTTTTTTTTTTTGCTGGTTTATTGGAGATGAGAATGAGTCTCATGGACTTTCCTGGCCTGGCTGGCTTCGAACCGTGATCCTCAAATCTCAGCCTCCAAAGGGGGCCAGGTTCCTTGCTCATCATTTTAATTGTGGATTTTTGGGGGCTGGTTCTGCCACCTAATGAAAATGAGTCATCAGAGCTCTTGGGGGTAGGGGATGGAGTGGGGGTGGTTAAATGAGAATTCAGATTCTGGTAGACATGATGAAAGGGTCAGGGTATGTATCATCACCTAACTTTCTGCTCATTAAGTAACCCTTTGGCTTACCTGTTCTTTTCCACATCACCCAGAATACAGACATTCAAACCAAATGCTCCAAGAATTCTCCCTTGTGTGATGATTTTCACATATCTAAGTCCTGTTGTGTGTTTTAAGAAGACTTTTAATCTTATATTATTATCCTTGTATTATCACTATCTTTATATTCAATGTAAGCAGGCTGTAGGGTTTTGTTGGGAGCCCAAATCACTGTGTGTGTGTGTGTGTGTGTGTATGTGTGTGTTTGGGCACGCACCTACCCGGGATCATAATACCCTTGCTCCTTTATGGAAAAGAGATCTTACGCAAAGCACATTTTTTATGCATGGAGATCTTGCTTTAGTTAAAGTATTTCTGAAACTCTCATTGGGATGGTTTATCTTTCTCTGAGGCTTATAGAACTCTGGTGGCAATGTCTTTTTAGGGTGTAGCAAAACAAATACTGGATGCCGGTGGCTCACGCCTGTCATCCTAGCTATTCAGGAGGCTGAGAGCTAGAGGATCGTGGTTCAAAGCCAGCCCAAGCAGGAAAGTCCCCGGGAGGGTCTTATCTCCAATGAAGCACCAAAACTAAAACCATAAAAAGCCAAAAGTGGCACTGGGGCTCAAGTGGTAGAGCGCTAACCTTGAACACAAAAGCTCAGGGACAGCGCCCAGGCCCTGAGTTCAAGCCCCAGGATGGGCACAAAAAAATCCAACCCCAAAAACCCCCCTCAGTGCTTGGAGAGGTTATGGTGGACTCATGCAGAAGTCAAAAAGCACGTTGGCAACGGCCTCACCTTGTGTTGATTGACACTCCATATTCTTATGATAGAGTCTCGGCCGGCTGTGAAAAGTCGATTGAGCGCAGGGTCCAACTGCAGGGCGTTCACACCGTTGCGATTGTATTTCTCCACTTCATCGCGAATGACATAGGAAACCTGCCACACACACACACACACACACACACACACACACACGATTGTATATTTTTAAAAATTAAGTTATAAGCCAAGCGATGATCATGCATAGCCCACACCCAGTGGCCAGTTCTAAGGGAAAACTTTGTTTTTGTGCTGGTGCCCAGGCTTGAACTCATGGCCTTGGGCGCTGTCCCTGAGCTTTTTTGCTCAAGGCTAGTGCTCTACCACTTGAGCCACAGCTCTACTGATGGCTTTTTTTGGGGGGAGGGGGAGAGTTAATTGGAGATAAGAGTCTCATGGACTTTCCTGCCTGGGCTGGCTTTGAACTGTGATCCTCTAGGTCTCAGCCTCCCGATAAGCTGGGATGACAGGCCTGAGCCACGGACGCCCCCTAGGGCAAACACCTTCCAAACCAGGAGCACTGGCAGGTTCTGGAAGGCTCTTCAACCAGATAAGCCATGTGGCTATCTCCTTCAGATTCTCATTCAAAAGTCGGTTCTGAAGCAAGGCCTCCTCTGCCCGCCACAAATAGTTTCATGCCCCTTGTTTCCACGGTTCACTTTCAAAACCTACTCTGAAGTGGGGCACGGGTGGCTCACGTCTGCCCCATTCCCAGGATGGGGGCGCAGGAGGTAACTCGGAACCAGAGCCTGGGTGCCAGGCCCACGGCCCCGCCCCGTCGGCACAGCCCCGCCCCTCCCACCTGGTCCCCGCCCACAGCAGTCCGTGTCAGCCCCTATGTCGCCCCGCCCCTCTATCTAGCCCCGCCCCTTCAAGTCCCTGCCCTGTGGCTCTCAGCTCCACCCCATAGCCTAGCCCCGCCCCTGATTGCCCTCAGCCCCGCCCCATTCCCCTCGCTCCTTCCACACTCGCTCTCAGCTACCTCTTGCCACTCCCCTCCATCTAGCCCCGCCCCTGATCGCCCTCAGCCCGGCCCCTTCTATATAGTCCCCGCCCTGTAATCTAGCCACGCCCCCAGCTGTCCTCGTCCTCAGCGCCGCCCCTTCCCCTCGCCCACCACCGCTTTCAGCTGATATCTCAAGCCCGGCCCACGACAGTCCTCAGCCCCGCCCCCTCGACCTCGCCCCCCCCCCTACAGTCGCTTTCAGCCATTCCCTCACGCCCGGCCGGCTAGCCCCGCCCCCAGCCCGCCTCAACCCCGCCCCACCCCCAGTAGCTTTCAGCCGTTCCCTGTCGCCCCGCCCCTCCGGCTGGCCCCGCCCCCAGCCCACCTCAGCCCCGCCCCTTCGACCACGCCCCACCCACAGTCGCTTTCAGCCTTTCCCTCTCGCTCCGCCCCTTCGACCTCGCCCCGCCCAAGTCACTTTCAGCTGTTCCCTCTCGCCCCGCCCCGCCGGCTAGCCCTGCCCCAGCCCGCCTCCGCCCCGCCC